TCCCTGGGCCTCTCCACCCCCTTGAGTGGACTGTTCTTTCACAAGCATGGACTGGCCACTTCACTGCGTCACTGGGGAACCCAGCTTCTCCCCGCCACCCCTGCCCCGGGCCTGGAGCTGGCTCATGGGCAGGCACTGTTGATTTCTTGCCAAATCTTGCAGCCGGCCGGCATTCTTTGCATATCAGCCCACTCCTTGCGGAGGTGATGCTGACAGCTAGGGGTCTCCACCAGGGGAGGAGGGGGCTGTCCCCCCAGCCCCCCGCTGGCAGCTTGCTCAGATGGATGGGCTCCGGCTTGGTCCCAGGGCCTGGCCCTCCCCTCCCTGGACGGGTCTGCAGTGTGTGCTCTCCATGAGATGTTTTATTTCACCTTTTGGGGACACTGTGGTGGAAGAACGCGTGAGCCGCGGATGACAGGAGGGGACAGGGGTCCTCCCACAGAACAGACACGCACAGGGTCTCTGTGACTTCTTTAATTTTTCAAACAATCGAGCACAAAGACAAGAGGTTCAAGTACATTCTGATGCAAGTGTTGGATGAACAGACGTGCATTTAGCCACGAGGGAGGCAGGCGGCGAGACCACGCTCACCCTGGCAACCAACGGTCAGTCCCGTCCCCCCCGACCCCGAGAAGTGGGCCCTGGGCCGGTGTCAGCCTGCGCGGATCCTTGCCGGGTGCGGTGGAGGTGGAAAACAGAATTCTCACCATGAAGCTGAGAAGGGCCTTGAAAGGTGGGACCCCCGAGGGGCGGGACCACCTCGCCCGGCCAGGAGGGGGCCTGGCCTCTCTCTGACGCTAACGAGTCGGGGGGTCGCCCAGGCCCGAGCACACCATGTCCCTGGTGCTCGCGGTTAACTGAACACTCAGACTTGAACAGTCACCAGAGCAGAAACCTCGATTCAGCAGGGCTTGTAACCTGGCTGACCCCTGAGACCACCAGGGAGAACCAGGGACCGCTCCTGCCTGGACGGCAAGCTCTGGCCCCCAGCCCCGTCCATCGGGGCCCTGGCCTCCTGGAAAAGCCACACCTCACCAGACCTGGAGCACAGAGGCCCCCGGGGGCCTCAGGAGCGTCTTCCCCAGACCCTGCCCTGGTGGAATGGAGGGGGGCCCAGGGCTATCAGCTTCAGGTCTGTGCCCTCGCTCCAGGCCGGCCTCCAGACACGTCGCATCCGCTGAGAAGCCCGGAGGCCCACACACCTGTGCAAAGCTGGGCCTGCATGGGCACTGGGGCTCAGAGTGCCCAGTGTGACCGCGGTCTTCACTGAACGGAAGCACCCAGACTGACCTGCCGGGGCAGCCAAGCAGCAGGTGTGGGGGGCCTGGTCTGGCCCTGCTGGCGTGGAGCACTGGCCACTCATGGAAGGAGGGCTGTGACCTGGGGACAAAGGCCCTCACCTGGCACCACTCAAGACAGCTGGAGACACCAGCGTGGCCCGAGGACCCCAGCACCCCAAGGCTCTAGGGGTCTACAGGCAAGGTGGGAAGGCCAGCGTCCACACTGAGCAGGCGCGGAGCATGTGGGCAGCGCGTGGCCCTCTCCTTGGGGACCCTTCTGAAAAGGGCACCCCAGGACTTCAGAAAGCAGTGAAGGACCTTCTCCCTGCAAGGCCGGGGCTGTGCACCCCCAACCCGGGGCAACGGAGCTGGGGGAACAGAGTCAGCAACGGCGACATGGGGCCTGGGGAGGAAGCCCTGGGTGACCAAGACCCCCGGCCACGTTAACCTGGGGGTGGTGAGGGCTGAGTGGTACCCAGCCCCGCACCGCCATCCTCAGAGCAGAGCAACTTTCACACAATAAATACAAACAGAGCTGAGCTTTCTCCAGTGACCAAAACAAACAAGTCAATTTGGTTACCTGCTTTGGTTACCTAAGCAAGTTGATCTGAACTCACAGTTTGAGCAAAACGTCTAAATACAATACTGGGAACTCCTGTTAGCACTAGGTTACCCAAATAAAGAAGCCAAAAAAAAGCGAAGAAAAAGGGCTGCAACAGGAATTCTTAGTGATTATACACTAACCAGTCTGTGCGCGGCACATTTTATTTCTATAAAACTATTACAAAATATTCAAAAATACATTTTAGTAAATTTACAGCAGTTATTTCTCAACTTATTAATGCAAAAACATCCTTTGTTTTTCTCTGTACAAACTACAGGCTCCATTCTTGTGGGCTCATCACTATGTGCGCTTTTAAAAAATATTATTTTCTAATAAATTCTTTGAAGTTAAAAATAACAGAGTTCTTCCAGTTTGTCCAAGAAAAAAAAAAGTATGTGTGTGTGAGTGAGTGTGTAACAGTCTTGACTTCCAAGAATGTGGCCAAAATGGTGATGACAAAGCAAATATTAAACCCAGAAGACAATACAGGAGATGGCTGTGACATTGGAAGCTAGTTAAATTAAAATAATATATTTTCATATTTTACACTATTTCAAAAATGAAATGTAATTCAGTTAAGTATTGATCTCTCAAAAATCTAATTTACAATTCTGTGTATAAAAATATAATTTGTGGACCCCCATGAAGCATGTTTTAGTTTACACTTGCCGAAAAGCAGGAGCATTGCAAAGGAGGAGTGGAGAGGACAGAATTCTGCTTTCTGAAAGTCAGGACGAGGGGCATGTAGAAAAATAGACTCTGAGCGGGTGGCTTGGCCTCACAAAATAATCTTTCCCCCTGTGAGTACAGTTCACATGATAATAATAAATTATCCAAGAAACAAACTATTTAAGGCTCTTGAAGGTCCGGTTCATATTATTTTAAAACATCTATTCATACCAAACAAATAAATAGCCAGGAGAGGTGAAAAAAAAATAACCAAAATTAAAACAAGAATCAAAAAATTCAAAAAAAATATATATATATAAACTAAAGACGACGACAGAATTTCTTGGGGTCTTTGATTCCTTATAGTCTACTTTGGACTGTCCTACTTTATTCTTATTCTTACTCTTATTATAATTAAAGTCTCATTGCGTGCGCTGTTTCCGTGTGTCCTTTGCGGTGTCCGGCCCCCCCACCCCTCCCGCCC